TTCCAAAGGTGTTTTGAAGGTGTTCAAGGTTTTATGTGATATTCAAAGGTGTTTTTGAAGTTACAAATGATTATGAAGGTTTGGGGTGTTCAAGTAAAGTGTTTGAGTAGTTTTTGTGATCTTTTTTTCTGATGTAATGTGTCCCCTTAATAACTTAATGAACTAAAAGGGTAAAAACAGAAAAATGCTAGTCTGGAGAACTGAGGGAAATAGTTGTAATTTTAATGTAAATTGTTAAGTGCAGATAAATTAGAGTTGTCAAATCTTATTTGGGAGTACTCAAATAGTGTTTTGGAAAATGTCAAAGGTGTTTTTTGAGTGTGTTCAAATGTTGTATTTGAAGTTTTCAAGGGGTGTTTTGAAGGTTTTCCGGGTGTTTTTGAAGGTGTTCAAAGGTGTTTTGAGGTTCTTCAAAGGTTTTTTGAGTGTGTTCAAAATGATTTGAGAGTGCTTTGAAGTGTTTTGAAAGGTTTTCAAGGTGTTATGTGCGTATTCAAAGGTGTTTTTTTTTGAAGGTGTACAAATGATTTTGAGAGTACTTATGAAGAGTTCAAATGATGTGGAAGAGTACTTATGAAGGTGTTCTGGGAGTATTCAGAGGTGATTTTGGGGTTGTTCGAAGATGTTTTGAGTATTCAGTGTTGTTTGAAATGTTATAAATAGTTTATGTGATTATTCAAATGATTTATGATATAGTTTTGAAGATGTTCAAAAGTAGAAGTGTTTGAGTTAGTTTTTGTGACTTTTTTTTCTGATGTATTGTGTCCCCTTATTAACTTTAATGAACAAAAAGGGTTAAAACGAGAAAAATTGGAGTTATGAGTGAAAATTGTGAGGTGTTGTTGGAGTGTTGAGGGTTTGGAGGTGGGGGGAGGTTTACTTCGTGGGGATGGACCTGAATGAAATAGTTTTAAAAATGTCTAGACTTGTGTTTGTAAAGAAATTTGTGGGTATTAACGAAAAATGTTCTTTCTGTGTATTATGTCCCTATTAACTAAAAGGGTAGACAGATTCAGCCTGTGTCGTGTGGGGGTTCATCGCGTGACTTCACTGACCGTCGAGTAAACACATTAATGAGAGGATAATGACGTCACACTTGTTTAGACCTGTAGTAAGAGAGAGCACATGCCCATAGAGGAAGTTCATTTGAATGCTTACCCCCCAAGGGGGGAATCCAAAAAACCTTGATACAAGAGATGGAGTCTTGTATTATCGAGAAAATTGGGGTGGGAAGTGAAAGTGAAGGGGTAATCGCAAAAATTTATCCGAGAGATGGAGACTTTTGATTTCGAGTAATTTTGGGATGGGAGTGAAAGTGGGAGGGGATCTCGAGAGGATATCATAAGAATTTCGAAACTAGCCCGCATAGGGGGAATCCAAAACTTGATTATCGAAAATTGGTGGGGTTCGGGGGGGTGAAAGTGGGGAGGGTAATCCAAAAATTTTTGATCCAAGAGATGGAGAATTTCGAAAAACCCCATAGGTGGGAATGCAAACACTTAGAATATGAGAAAATTTTGGGGTTTGGGGGGGGTGGGGGTGTGGTAGGAGGGAAAATCCAAAATTTTAATTACAGTTGATACTTGGTGTTGGAGATTTTCGAAAACCCAAGGGGGATCCAAAAAATGTTTCGAGGAGATGGAGTCATGTTGTATCGAGAAAAATTTGAGGTGGGGGGTGGGTGAAAGTGGGAGGGGTAATCCAAAAATTTGATCCAAGGTGATCATAAGAAATTCAAAACCCCCATAGGGGGGGAATCCAAAAACTTGATCCGAGGAGATGGAGACTTTCGAAACCCCCATAGGGGGAATCCCAAAAACTGGTAATTCGAGAAATTTTGGGGTGGGGTGAAGTGAGAGGGGGAACCTTAAAAACTTGATCCGAGGAGATGGAGAGCAAAAGAAAATGAAATTCAAAAAAAATTCGAAAAAAATCCGAAAAAATTTCGAGGCGCGGGGGCGATCCGGACGACGCTGCAGAAGCGCAGCAGAAGGCGCGGCGGGCTCGCGAAGGCGCGGGCGGGCGCGCGGGTGGGCGCGGCGGGGGGTCAGCGAGGGGGGGGGTCGTGGGCGGGGGTATTGGTTGGGGGGTCAAAGGGTGAGGGTAGTCTCGAGGCGAGGTCATGGTCAAAACCGGAAGTAACACTAGGTGTGGAAAGGTGACCCGTCCAGCTGCTGGTCCTAGACCGTATACCCCGCTCAGTGGAAGGCCAAACCGGAAGGAAGCCTCCAGTGGAAGGCCTAAACACGAAGGAGCCCCCCTGTAAAATATGACTACTTATATATATATATATATTTAGTATATAGTATATATATATATATAAATATATATATATTATATAAAATATATATATGTATGTATATATACACATATATTCACATGTGGGAGTGGCAGTGGTAGTGGTGGTGACGGTGGTGATGTGGAGGTGGTGATGGGTGGGTGTTAATGGCGGTTAGTGACTGAGGTATGAGGGAGGTGGTGGTGACGATGGTGGTGTTGTTGGTGTTGGTGGTGGTAGTGGTGGAGAGTAGTTGGATAAGTAACTGTGAGTGGATTCCCCAACTCTCAGGTTATCACTGGTAGTCTGTGTCATGTAGAGGTCATGACCTGGTTTCTGTTAGCACTTCTACTGCTACTACTACTACAACTACTACTACTATTACTACATTACAATTGCTACTACTAATACTACCACTACTGCTATTATTACTACATTACTACATAAACGAATCTACTCCTACCTTATCTCCCAAAACATACTCAACCCCTGCCAATTTGGATTCAGGCCTAATAAAAATACTAATGATGCTATTATACACATGCTAGAACGTATATACACTGCAATAGAGAAAAAAGAAGTCCCACTGGGGATCTTCATTGACTTACGTAAAGCTTTTGATACAGTTGACCATGACTTGCTCCACGTAAAATTGTCACACTATGGTGATTAATGACAGCTCTCCCGTCAACCTACCTCAAGTCATACCTCAGCAACAGAAGCCAATATGTTTAATCGCAAAATGGGCAAACTCTTCCACTCAAACCAATTACAGTTTGTGGGTCCCACAGGGAAGGTGCGTCCTTGGCCCTCTTCTCTTTCTCCTATACATAAATGACCTTCCCAGAAATGCCTTCGCAATTACTCAAACCCACACTATTTGCCAGATGACACTACATACGTCTTCTTCTCTACCCGAGCCCAGTCACGCTATAGCCAATACTGTAAATACCGAATTACAAAAATATCTACCGGATGATGACTAACAATTACACTAAACATTGACAAAACCTACTTCATTCAGTTTGGAAACAGAGCTACAGATGTCCCCTCTTAACATAACGATAAACAAAACACCATCACAAAGCTAACAGCGGAAATTCTTAGGAATCCAACCTTGATAATAGACTCAAATTTTCATACACATTATACAACAAATTTCTAAGAAAAATTCCAGACTGTAGGCATACTAACGAAGATACAGTACTATGTATCCACAGTCAGCCCTCCTGGCCCTTAGCACTCTCTTATTTACCCCTATCTCACCTATGTAATTTGTGCAGGGGGCTCAACAACAATTAACCATCACAGACGCACTAATGTACCCAACAAAAGGAGCAGTTAGAATGATAACAAATTCTCACTACAGGCAGCTACACTCCACCAATATTCAAAAAAAACACTTCAACCTACTCACCATACAAAACATCCATACTTTTACTTGCACCTATTACATACATAGAACACTTAAAACTCTGATATAACCCTCTCCCTCAAACCTCTCCTTGCCACCTCACAGAACACATGACCATAACACAAGTACAGATCACTCTTTGACGTTCCTCGTGTCCCATCTCACACTAGGCAAAAACTCAATGCACATAAAAGGCCCTAAAATCAGGAATTCATACCTGTAAAGTATAAAAGAAACACTACCTGTTTAAAATTCCAATCTCTTCTCAAAGATCACTTTAACTCACCCAAAACCAAATAAATACTGAATAACTGAACCTAGAAATTGTATATCTTAAAATGTTTCTCACAATTCTATCACATAAATGTTAAACCTAAAACCCAACTAACTTTATTATTTTTTAAATACACTACCTAACAGAATACTCCATACGACTGAATGTACAACAATGCATGCCAACCAAATGACCTGTCTTTGTAATACTCATTGTGGCTTTATATTATCTGTACAAAAATGTATTATCACTGATTTCATCATTGCTTATTTTAAGTATAGCCAGCCCGTAATGCCTATGCATAAGTAAAATGTGGGCTTTGGCATGCTGCTCTTATCTGTATTTTTTTGTACCTCTTGTAGTATGCTCAAATTGTAAATAAATAAATAAATGAAAAAAAAATAAAACTACACTAATACTACTACTACTACTACTGCTAATATTACACTACTACTACTACATACACTCAAACTTCCCATCTCAGGACAGTTGTCTATCGACAAGTGTTTTTAGAGCTAGCAACCGACTAACACACATGTATTATTAATGATCTTCTCTTTTCTCATAAAGAAGATGATGGAGTGAGAGAGATAGTGGAGTGAGAGAGATAGTGGAGTGAGAGAGATAGTGGAGTGAGAGAGATAGTGGAGTGAGAGAGTGGAGTGAGAGATATAGTGGGGTGAGAGAGATAGTGGAGTGAGAGAGATAGTGGAGTGAGAGATATAGTGGGGTGAGATATCAATAATTACCCAGGGAAACCTAAATGTAATTTGTATATGAACTTGAGTGTAGGACCCAATGAAATAGATCAGATCTGTTTACCTCCATTTAGTAGACGCTGTATGACCCGTGTACATTTAGCGCTTTCTTATGAATATGATATTAATACGATGAAGATGATGTTGATAATAATAATAATAATAATCAAATAATAATAATAATAATAATAATAATAATAATACATGCAAAAATTAATTGTAATAATAATATGCACAGTTAGAAGAAGCTGCCACAAAGTTACTTCTAAACACAAGTTAGAGAGGATTGCTGCCCCGCAACCACCCACGTTCTGCCGCATGGAGACTTACCAATTCCTCTTCCCCCAGGGGACAACTGGGGAATACCTTCTTGCATGTGGCCTGGTCTTCCACCTGGCCGACCTCCGTGGCCTGGAGGAGGGCCACATTGTAGGAGGACAGTGTCTCAGGGCTGTTGGCCAACAGTTCAAGGAGGATGTACTCTTCAACAGAGAAACTATTTTCCTGTTTGTTGTTTAGATGACACAGAAGCTTGAAGACGCAGCTGTCAATGTCCAGGTGAAAGGCTGCCGATATCAGCAACTTCTGCGCCTCCTCCACCTCCTCATTAATGAATCTTTTGTGGCGTCTGTGTGTTCCATGGTGACGCGGTGGATAACCACGCACTATATGACCATTTGAGGAATGTTGAGGTATGTGTTTGGGTGGCGTTAAACCCGTTTCAGGTGCAGCGTATGCGTAACGACGTGAGGCTCCGTTGTCTGTGTCAGGTGAATTATCTATTGGTTGTAGTCCAAAGAATTCAGCGTAATCTTCGGCATCTTTCTCCCGGCTACGTCGAGCTAGATCCACAGCCTCGATGATCAGAGCAGCCTGAATATAGAAAAACAATTTAGATACATTTAAACGAATTATTGTCAACGACTATAGTATGTGTGTTAATTAGACGAAATAAGATTAAAATGGTGATGTTTTATTCGACTAGGAACAAAACCGTGTCTCCTGCCATGTCTGAGAAGACTCGTTAAATGATTTAGCAATCGCTGGTATAACGATGTTGTTTTTGATTAGTTAAGCATCTAGTTAAACGACAGAGTGAGTCTACAGGTAGTGAGAAAGATTATATTTACAGGGAACGACTTTCAAACTCAGTGTTTACAGTAAACTCACCAATATAGATAATTTAATACATTATTTTTCCCAACACGACCCCAAGACTAACGCGGGTTTTATTTTCCTTCTCGCCTACAAGGTTCGTAATCAAGAATTCCTTACAGATGAACACGTCATCCGCCTCTGCCAAAGGAAAGTTTTACTCTTCCACAATACTCCCAGGGAGACCGTAAATATTAGTGGTGGAAATAAATGGTATAAAATACCGACACGATGGAAATATAAACACATATGCAGTATAATGTGATCCTGGAATCATCACTTATTTCTATATCCGACAACTTCAACCAGAATAGTGGCTTCTATAACATAGCTGAACCACTTGCCAAGAAACTTCTTCATCGCTATCCCACATAAGAACACTGTCAGAAGGTCTGCACACAATCCTTATCCAATCCTCCTTTCCAACGAAACCCAAGATTTTAGACTCTATAACCCCACTCGGTACATCATCAGATGCAGCATTCTCCACCTGACCTCAGCATTCTGAACCTGACTATAAATACTCGCGTCCGATTCCACCCCAGGTAGATCTGTTTGTGACTTGAAAAAGCCCACTGTGTGGGCCGAAACGTAGTCAATAAAGGGATCACATAATAACTGCAATATGTGTTATATATTTCAAATATTAGTGGGGTGTTTGTCTTACGCTACAGTACAGGTCGCCTCCCCCCACCCCCCACTATCACCTCAGTCTTCCGTGAAGCCAACATACCTGGAGTATACCTGGAGAGAGTTCCGGGGGTCAACACCCCTGCGGCCCGGTCTGTAACCAGGCCGCTACCATGATTCACGCGAAGAAGACTTCTTAAATGCGGTTGCAAGAAATCTGAATCATCATTGACGCTAAGTATATTTCATTTTCTGTCGAAAAGTAGACTTGGCTGGTAAATTTTCCCATAGTTGGCATGTCTGCGTCACCAGCACCGCGGCGCATGACAGTTCTCTCGTCTAGCCTTACATTCTGGCTACAAATTCTCATCGCTTGTGCTCTCTAGGCTGGAATACTGCTGTTCACTAACGGCCCCCATCAAGGCTGGCGACATTGCAGACCTGGAGAGTGTACAAAGAACTTTCACGGCACACCTAAGTTCTGTAAAGCACCTAAACTACTGGGAATGGTTGAAGGTCCTTGATCTGTATTCCCTGGAATGCAGGCGAGAGAGATACACGATAATATACACTTGGAAGGTCCTGGAAGGATTGGTACCAAACCTGCACACGAGAATCACTCCCTATGAAAACAAAAGACTCAGCAGGAGATGCAACATTCCCCCGATGAAAAACAGGGGCGCCACGAGTAGACAACACAATAAGTGTCCGGGGCCCAAGACTGTTCAACTGCCTCCCAGCATACATAAGGGGGATTACCAACAGACCCCCGGCTGTCTTCAAGAAGGCACTGGACAGGCACCTCAAGTCAGTACTACCTTACCAACCGGGCTGTGGTTCGTACGTCAGTGTGCGTGCGGCCAGCAGTAACAGCCTGGTTGATCAGATCCTGATCCACCAAGAGGTCTGGTCTCAGACCGAGCCGCGGGGGCGTTGACCCTCGAAATCCTCTCCAGGTAAACTCCAGGTAAACAGTGAACCTTTAACTGTGAGAGTTATAACTAGCAGTGAACCAATATGCGAGGTATAACTAACAGTGAACCAGTGCGAGAGTTATAACAAACAGTGAACCAATAACTATAAGAGTTATAACTAAGAGTGAACCAGTAACTCCGTGAGTTGTAAAAAGCAACAAAGCAGTAACTGTGTGAGTTATAACAAGTAGTGAACTAATAAATATGAGAATTATAACAAGCAGTGACAGTGAGAGTTATAACAAGCAGTGGCTGTGAGTTATAACAAGTAGTGAAGCAGTAACGGTGAGAGTTATAACAAGAAGTTATAACTCACAAGTAGTCACTGTGGGAGTTATAACAAGCAATAACTGAGTTATAACAAGCAGCGAACCAATAACTGTGACAGTTATAACAAGCAGTGAAGCAGTAACTGTGTGAGTTGTAACAAGCAGTAACTGTGAGTTATAACAAGTAGTGAAGCAGTATCTGCGAGAGTTATAACAAGCAGTAACTGTGAGTTATAACAACAGTAACTGTGAGTTGTAACAACAGTTACTGAGTTATAACAAGCAGTAAAGCAGTAACAGTGAGTTATAACAAGCAGTAACTGTGAGTTATAACAAGCAGTTATTACTCACAAGCAGTAACTGTGAGAGTTTTAACAGTGAACCAGTAACTCTGTGAGTTATAACAAGCAGTAGCTGTGAGAGTTATAACAAGCAGTGAACCAGTAACTGTGTGAGTTATAACAAACAGTGACTGTGAGAATTGTAACAAGCAGTGAACCAGTAACTATGAGAGTTATAAGCAGTGAGCTGGTGAGAGTATTATTCACAATAAGTGTTGGTTACCTTGAAGCAAGCGAAGCCAGCAGCCGCCAGCAGTATTCTCGCTGTACCAGACGCAATGTTCAGCTGAGGGAAGATGTTGATGAGTGATGTTATGTGACTGGGTTCCAGGTACTCTATCCAGCTCTCACCTCCTACCGTCACCACCAGCACCAGCAGCAACACTACTCTCTTCTCCAGTGAAAATTTCATTTTTTTTGAGGGAAGGGTGAGGATGGGTCTGCAAAATAGAAATATAAAAGTAATTATTTACAAACAAATTTTATTCGTATAATTTGATGAATTCTTGGAGGAAGTTTGTGAACTATAGGCAGAAAAAATATAACTTTGGAATTATTTAGTAAGTAGGCTTCCAAAACATGCTACAATATATTGTTGTTTTACTTGCATTCACCACTGGAAAAAAATTACCCGATATAAGCCTTTGCGAACAGTCTTTTTCATTAAGTGTCTCCGAATGAGACCTGTAAATAATTACCAGAATTTGATTTCCTTTATCCAACTATTATATTTCCTTTCGCTCATAACACGAGTATATCAAGTCCGATCGACTTCAAACTTTCAGCAAAATTCTTGGAACAATTAGTATGTGCAGGAGACATATGAAAAATTATTAAACCCATTCCCAGAATCCTGGAATGGCTCCGACAATTTCCAAATCTCTCAGTGTCACAGCCTGAAATATTAAGAAAGAAAAAATCCTCCAAAAGTGGATTACCTTCTGCTTAAACATGAATATTAACATATAATTGTTGGTGACGTCAACCAACGTCTTATACAGAGAGATTTTAATGAACTTCTTACAGTCTTTGACAAGAAAAACTTCGATGAATTCCCTCGACTCAGTGGATATGTTGAATTATCTGACCACAGAACTGTCTTTATGATCCTGAAGATTCCAGCAGAACGAGATGAAGAATATACACGCACAACCTGGCTGTGAGAAAGGTGAAACAAACCGTTCCCTCTGCTCTGAGCTCGACACCTCCGATATTAATGCTCTTCTGCAAGGTAACGTTGATAATCAAGTGAATGCCTTCACTAAAGACAGCCTTAATCTTCAATAAAAATACATCTCTCACTGGCAGTATGTGAAGAAGCCTTCAGATCAGCCTTGGCTCAGCTTTCGTTGTTGTTATGCTGTAAACGCTCCTATAATTTAAGTATCTTCACCACTGTTATCTTTAATATTACATTGTGCTCATTTCCATTAATAGCTAAAATGGAAATGTCTGACCTTCTATTATTATCTGTCATCATCATCATCTTTGTCCTCCAAATGGTCTTGTAAATTGTATTATATATACATATATATATACATTATATATTTCTTTCAACACACCGGCCGCATCCCACCGAGGCAGGGTGGCCTAAAAGGAAAAACGAAAGTTTCTCCTTTTACATTTAGTAATATATACAGGAGAAGGGGTTACTATCCCCTTGCTCCCGGCATTTTAGTCACCTCTTACGACACGCATGGCTTACGGAGGAAGAATTCTGTTCCACTTCCCCATATATATATATATATATATATATATATATATATATATATATATATATATATATATATATATATATATATATATATATATATATAACTGATAATTACCTGCCGGAGAAAGTTGTATAATCTCCTACCATTTATTGAGAGTGATAAGAATTGAACAGTTGTATACCTACTGGTTAAAGGTTAATTTGATATAAAGCACATTATTATGAAAATCCATGGATATACACTAAACTATATATATATCTCTATTATTTAAACATAGTGGATTTGATTCATTAAAAATAAGGCTTTTATCGAATTTTTAGATTTTAATTTCTCTAAAATTCTCTGTCAGAATTGTTGCGTCTGTCTTGGGCTGATTTTTTTTTTTCAACAAGTCAGTCGTCTCCCACCGAGGCAGGGTGACCCAAAAAAAGAAAGAAAATCCCCAAAAAGAAAATACTCTCATCATCATTCAACACTTTCACCACACTCACACATTATCACTGCTTTTGCAGAGGTGCTCAGAATACAACAGTTTAGAAGCATATACGTATAAAGATACACAACATATCCCTCCAAACTGCCAATATCTTGGGCTGATATCCAGGAAATATCACTAAGGGAAGCCCAAAGTAAATGGTAAGACGCAACAGTTGTCGAGAGGCTGTAACTGCTAAGCACAAGGCTTGGAGAAGGCGTTTCTCGACTACCACAAGCTTCTTTGTGACCATCAATATGGTTGGAAAGAAGGTCACTCTGTTCCTGATCTGATATTAAACCTCTCTGCTAAGTGGCTCCAATCACTGTGTAGTAACACTGGACACTGGTGGTGCTTTCGACTGAATATGGCACCAGTGACTCTTGTCAAAACTAGAAGCACTAGGAGTCGCTGGGTGTGCATTATGCCTTCTCGGTGATTACCTTCAATGGGACAGAGTCAAAAAGACACTCTGTGGTGCAAGTATTCCACAAGGAAGTATAATTGGGCCATTGTTATGGAATGTCCTTCATCTGATCCCAGAATACCATGCATATGCAGATGACTGTACTCTGACGTATACTTATCCATGAGAAAAAATGCCAGTTGCTCTCAATTACATCAATCACCAGATTACAGCTATATCAGCCTGGGGAGAAACGATGGCAGGTCACATTATTTGCTCTTGAGAAAAATTAAATTGTTAATGCTGGAGCAGTGGTACAAATGATGAGGTTAATATCCTTGGGGTGAAATTTGAGTCCAAACTGACTATGAAGAATCACACTGTAAATCTTGCAAACAAACAGCTAGAAAGCTTACAACAAAGGCTGTAAAGGCTGCAAAGCTCTGTACGAGGCACTAGTGTGCTCACACCTTGAGTATGTTCCATTTTCTTGGATTCCCTACCCCAGTCTCGTCTACGACTTCTTGACAGAATAAAGAACAGAGCAAAATGCCTCATCTCTCGTCTGGACCCGACCTGGACAGATGTATTAGTTTAACAGAGCCTTCAACACTGGAGGGATGTGAGTGGTCTTACTGTTATGTACTAGGCGATTGTTGTCAAGGTCCCATACATGGCTGCACTTCTCGCACTGCAAGAAGTGAGCTTCTAAACAATACAACTACACTCTGACTTTATCCTTCTCAAGAACATCACTTCATCTGAAATCATTTACTCATATTATGACTCGATTCTAGAACATGTTCGTACAGCATAAAAATATCAGTGAAATAAAGTCAATTGATCAAATGAAATTGCTGGCCCACAGATGGCCCAAACTTCATCTTATTTCACATTTGCTTGTCTTTAAACAATAAAAAATGCTTTCAAATGAGCTGATGTAGGTAACAGCTCTTAGCTTGTAAATAAAGTTAGGAACCCTTACCCTAACCTTGTCAAACCCTGTGTAAAACAGAGAGTGAGAGAGGAGAGAGAGAGAGAGAGAGAGAGAGAGAGAGAGAGAGAGAGAGAGAGAGAGTCGCTTGTTCTGCTGCTGGTATTATTTATTTATTTTTGTATATTTTATGCAGCCTTTAATAAATTAAAATATTTTGTCAATACAGCATTCCTGTGGGACATGTAAAAAATCATTGGAAGGAAATCCAGGATCATGTGCAACCTGTGGTTTTCCAAGTATCACATCTCTGGTGCAGGAAGAACTAGCAAGGTGCTTCTGGTTGTGAAATAAAGATGTAGAACTTTAGAGAGGTATCATGTAGGTACTAAGGAGGGTAATAAATAATGAAAATAAGCATGAAAATAAAGAGGAACTCTTAGACAGTCTACCCAAGACATATAAAATATGGAAGGAAGAGATAGGAGGAATGAACCAAAAAATGCAGAATGCCCATAACACAACAGATGACTCGAAATTAAATAGTCACCCACTGAAGAAAACACAGGAAAGAAAAGCGTCAGTTAACGCAATCCCCCCCCCCCCCACATAGTGTTGACCCAGACCCATCCCCAAACCCTAGCGCTACTTCCCACAGCGCTGGTGCTGACCCAGACTCAGCCCCCAACCCAAGTGCTGACTCGGACTCAGGTCCTAGAGTTACTGTTAGTCCAAACTCCGCTAGGGACTTACCACAGTCAACACTAAAACCTTAAATATACAACCATCATTGCAGAAGATCATAGGCCACATTACAGATGAAGTGGAGTCTTCTTCTTCTTCTTCTTCTTCTTCTTCTTCTTCTTCTTCTTCTTCTTCTTCTTCTTCTTCTTCTTCTTCTTCTTCTTCTTCTTCTTCTGGGGAAAGTGCTACTCCCCTGGAAGCAGGAAGGGATGGCTCTGGCTTGCCTACTTAGGATTATAGCACAGTCCTAGAAACTGCACAAACTGAGAACACACCTACCACAAATTCTACCCATCTAAAAGCAAAATAGTACAAATTCTTTGTTTGGGGCATCTGTAAGAATGGAATATCAGGAAAAACAAGTGGCCTCCTATCTAAAGGAATGTGTCGTTTCACCCAGAAATGTGCCACTCTTCAGTCCTCTAGAAACAGTGCTAGAACACCATCTGCCCTGCATGCATCTAAAAGAGACCAGGAGGTACAGACCTTATAAGAGAAACAGTAGTTGCGACAATCCTACTACAAGTGATTTTTTAGTGGCAGGAAACGAAGTAAGGAAATGGAAGGAAATAATAAAAATAGTCCACCACCTTGGAGCCTTGTTGGACTGGAGGCACAGACAGTGCCCCCCATCCCCCATGGCCTTCCAGAACCACAATTACGGATACCGACAACTAAATTCCCCAACAAATACAGAATATGACCTCGTTTATATTTGCTAACATACAGGGCCTTAAGCCATCCACCAACAGCATGGCTTAAGCCACCAGATGCAACCTCCCAGGAGTTCAAAGAATAGCTACTGAAAATTGATTGCTTTCTGGAAATCCTTCCAGCTCCATCCCCAAACATCTTACTGGTTGGGGATTTCAACCTAAGACATACAAAATGGAAGAATGTAGCAAATAATGTTATAGCAGAAACATTCCTTGGAAGCAGCGCAGATGAAAAGTCACACACTCATGAGCTACTAAATCTCTGCAGTAAACACACCCTAAGTCAGCAGATAGTGGAGCCAACAAGACTGGAAAACACACTTGACCTTATCTTCACAAATAATGAGGACCTGATAAGAGACTTATCAATATCTAAAACAACTAAATCCTATCACAATCTAATCGAATTTCTGACTTACATGCAAAGGGGTGCTGATCAACAAAATGCATGTACCTGTGAATGTGTCTTCACCAAATACAACTACAACAACAAGAGCATCAACTGGGACCAGGTGAACCATGTCTTAAATGAAACATATTGGGAAGATATCTTAAATAACATGGATCCAAACCAGTATCTTGAAAGGATCAATTTCCTGGCAGCTGAAGTATGTTCAAGGCATGTTCCCTAAGAAAAAACAAAGAGAAGAAGTAAACTGGAGACAGAAAGATGCTCCCTGTAGAGAAGACGACGAAAAATCACTGAGCTCCTCAAGAGCGCTAGATTACCTGATATGCGGAAGAAAGCACTGACCAGGGAAGTGGAAAGTATCGAACTTAAATTAAAGGATTCATTCAGGATCCAGGAGAGACACGAGGAGCTAAAAGGGATTAGTGAAATTGAAAGAAATTCCAAATATTTCTTTTCATGTGCAAAAAAACAAGGCAAATACTATATCTAGTAACGGGCCCCTGCTCAGATAAGATGGGAATTACATAGATGACAACAAAAAATAAGTGAAATACTGAAATCCCAATACGACTCCGTGTTTAGCGAGCCACTAATCAATCTAAAGATCGACAATCCAAATTATTTTTTCATGAATGAGCCTCAAAACTCCATCAATGTATGCCAATAGACTTTGCATGCCTATGTTTGCCAATATACTTTGAGAAAGCCATTGACAACATGTCCATGCACTCAGCCCCAGGCCCAGATTCGTGGAACTCTGTGTTCATTATGAACTGCAATAAACCCCTTTCGTGTGCCCTAAGTATACTATGGAGAAGGAGCTTAGACATGGGTGAAATTCCACAGTCACTATAAGCAACAGATGTAGCCCCACTCTATAAAGGTGGCAGCAAAGCAATAGGTAAGAAAAATAGATCTAACGTCCCATATCATAAAAGTTTTCGAAAGAGTGCTAAGAAGCATAATTGCAAACACTTGGATTTCCAAAAACTGCACAATTCAGGGCAACATGGGTTCAGGGCAGGTCGCTCCTGCCTCTCGCAACTACTGGATCACTATGATATGGTGTTGGATGCACTGGAAG